GCATTTCCTTGATGATTAGTGCTGTTGGGCACCTTTTCTTATACCTGTTAGCTATTTGAATGTCTTCTTTTGAGAAATGTCTATTCAGGTCCTTTGTCCATTTTTTAATTGAGTTACTTGTTTCTTGGCTGAGTTTTGTGAATTCCTTATATATTTAGTATATTAAACTTTTATCTGGCTTAGTTTGCAAATATATTTTTTTAATTCCTTGGCTGCTTTTTCATTTTATGATTGTTTCCTTTGCTGTGTAGAGCTTTTTAGTCTGATGTAGTCCCACTTTGTTTATTTTTGCTTTTGTTGCCTGTGCTTTTGGTGACATAGCCAAAAAATCCTTGTCAACATCAATATGAAGAAGCTTTGCTTCTGTGTTTTCTTCTAGGAGTTTTTTGGTTTCAGATCTTATGCTCAGATCTTTTGAGTTGATTTTTATGTATGGTGTATGATAAGGGTCCAGTTTCATTTTTTTTTGCATGTAGATATCTCGTTTTCCCATCACAATTTATTGAAGAGACTATACTTTCCCATTGTGTCATCTTGATGGCCTTGTCAAAAATTAGTTGACTGCATATGCTTGGGTTTATTTTTGGGCTTTCTATTCTATTCCATTGGTCTATGTATCTGTTTTTATGCCAATACCATACTGTTTTGATTAATGTTGTTTTATAATATAATTTGAAATCAGGAAGTGTGATGGCTCCAACTTTGCATTTCTTTTTTAAGATTGTTTTGAAGACTCTGGGTCTTTGGCGGTTCCATACAACTTTTAGGGTTGTTATTTCCATTTCCAATTGAAAATGCCATTGGAATTTTCATAGGGATTGCACTGATTCTGTATATTGCTTTAGGTAGTATGGACATTTTACTAATATTGATTCTTTCAATCTATGAACATGAGATATCTTTCCATTGATTTGTATCTTCTTCAGTTTCTTTCCTCTGTGTTTTATAGTTTTCAGAGTACAGATCTTTCACTTCTTTGGTTAAATTTATTCCTAAATATTTTATTCTCTTTGACGCTATTATAAATGGAATTGTTTTTGATGCTAATATAAATGGAATTGATATCTTTTCAGATAGATTCTTATTGGTGAAAAGAAATGTGACTGATTTTTGTATGTGGATTTTGTATCCTGCAACTTTACTAAATTCATTGATTAGTTCTAACAGTTTTTAGTGGAGTATTTAAGATTTCTACATATAAGATCCTGTCACTTGAAACAGGGATAATTTTACCTCTTCTTTCCCAATCTTTATTTCTTTTTCTTGTCTATGTGCTCTTGCTAATAATTCCAGTACTGTGTTAAATAGAAATGGTGAGAGTGGGCAGTTTTGCCTTGTACTAAGTCTTGGAAGAAAAGCATTCAGGTTTTCCCCATTGACTATGATATCAGCTATGGGCTTTTCATAAATGGCCTTTATCATGTTGAGGAAATTTCCTTCTACACCTATTTTGTTGAGAGTTTTTTTTTTTTAATCATGAAAGGATGTTGAACTTTGTCAAGTGCTTTCTCTGCATTGATTGAGATGATCGTGTGCTTTTTATGTTTTATTCTGTTAATGTGGTATATCACATTGGTAGTTTTGCATATGTTTAAACCAACCTTGCATCCTAGGGATAAATCCCACTTAGTCATGGTGTATACACTTTTTGACCTGTTGTTGAATTTGGTTTGCTGGTATTTTGATGAGAATTTTTGCATCTATATTAATAGATATTGGCCTATAGATTTTTTCTTGTGGTATCTTTGTCTGGCTTTGGTATTAGGGTAATGATGGCCTCATAAAATGAGTTTGATAGTATCTTTTCTACTTCTATTTTTTTTTTTTTTTTGGAAGAGTTTAAGAAGGATTGGTGTTCTTTGAATGTTTGGTGGAATTCAGCTGTGAAGCCATCTGGTCCTGGGCTTTTCTTGGCATCTTGGTTTCTTTTGTTTTAAAAAAATAAACCCAGCAACAGGCAGTCACAGAAGTAGAGCAAAACAGGAAAACATGGAGAGTCCATTATGTTTATCTTCTCCAGGTTGTTAGTTGATGGTTTTCTGGGAGCCTTCTTGATGGTCAAGGTCTCTCTGTAGCATAATAGTTAACAGTTTAGGACTGTGGAGTCAGCTAGAGCTGGATTTGCTATTCAGCTCTACCACATGAGAATTATGCAAACTTGGCCCCTAAAGCCTCAGTGTTCTCATCTAAAAAATAGGTTAATAATATTAACTCATAGCTCTCACTCCTTAGTAAGCTATACATATTTTTAGACATCATTTTTTTCCCTGCCAATAAAAAGAATATTCAGTGACACTGGACCAGAGGCCCTTTTTCTTGCACACTCCTGCTTTTCTTCTAGTGTATCACTCTCACTTCCCTTTTCTTCTTATTCCCCTCTTGCTACCTTTCCATTCAAACTAGCTCACTCTCCCCCACTTTGTTTTTTTTTTTTTTTTTAAGGATCTTACTCACAACCCATTGTGGGAATTGCAATGCAGGATAAAACTGTGAAAGCACTGTCTGAAGTTTCAAAGAGACTAATTAAAACCCAGGGAATAAATTTCAATAGAATTTTACTTGAGTAACTGCCAACTACCACTAGAGGTTAACTGCTAACTACTACTAGAGATTATTTGGGAAGAGAGTCCATGATCCTAAGCTATTAAGGCCATTGCGCCAGCCATCTCTTCGAACTCATTTGTCTGGACAGACTACTCTCATTACTGGGTTATTTAAAGGCATTTAGACTTTCTTCTTGAGGGACGAGAGGGTGGGTTCCCCCCTCATAAATTTTGTCTCCAATTCTTAGACTTCTTCATCCTTCATGCAAATCACCATGAAAGTGGGTCCCATGACCCAAGGTAACTTTTTCAGAAATCTTGGGGGAGGGGGAGGGTCTTAGCTGTGTGTTCTTATTTACTCTTAGAGGAGTGACTCTTACAATATTTAAGGGCCTCAGGCCTGGCCTCTGGCTTGGGTTGGCTTGGATTCAGGCCCTGGTCAGTTGAATTTGGGGCTGAGTGTTCATTACCACCATCCACTGCTCCCTTCCGGTTCTCCATCCTTTCTCCCTACCCCCTCTCCTTCCTTCTTTCCCTCTTTTCCCTTCTCTTTCTTCCTCTCCTCCTTCTTCCTCCCCTTTCTTTTTCCCCTTCCCTCATCTTTCATCTCTTTTTAGGTAACTGCACTCATCTCTTTGCTCAATGGAAATTATAATGTTTACTTTTCTCTCTCTTAAATTTTTTGTTGTGGGATTAATGAGAACAACCAAAGGAATGGCTTTGGTATGTGAGAAGCTCTGTATAAATTCAGAAATATCAGCCCAGTGCAGTGGCCCACTCCTGTAATCCCAACCTTTGGGAGACCGAGCAGGGAGGATCGCTTGAACTCAAGAGTTCGAGACCAGCCTCAGTAACATAGTGAGGTCCAGTTAGTACAATAATTATAAAAATTAGCCAGTGTGATGGCACACGTCTGTAGCCCCAGCTACCCAGGAGGCTGAGGTGGGAGGATCTCCTGAGCCCTGGAGAGTGAGACTATTGTGAGCCTTGATTGTGCCACTGCACTCCAGCCTGGGCAACAGAGTAAGACATTGTCTTAAAAAAAATTCCGAAGTATTATTTGCTAACTGTTTCTGCATTTTCTTCGTTCCCACATGCCCATACTCCCTTACGATGTATAGTATGCCACGTATGCCCTTTTCTAGTCAATAAACAGCGTTTATATTTACAAATAAGAAACTAATGTTATGAGGGTCACCCTTTGTGGAGAGTTTGCTGAATCCCTGCTTTCATTTAACTATGAATTTTGATCTCTGTGGAAGACACAGAAGTCAAAGATGACAAGAGCTACCTGGTGCTGCAAGGCTGTGAGGGTTTTAGCAGATAACAATCCTCCTCCTGTTTAGGAAACCTGGCAGTTCCCTCTGCCCATTCCCATTTCAACGGTGCTACCAATTTATGCACCATTTACAGAAGAGGCCAGAAACAAAACTGCAAGGCTGTTTTGATCCAAGTAAAATGATATTGCCACTCTTTGGGAGGGGGTAGGGACTCCAAGTGAATGTTCTGGGATGATCAGGAGTAATATCTTGTTGCAGCAGCCATTAAAGAAACACTTGCCCATGGATATAGTATGCTGCTTGCATTTGCCTTTTGAGCATCCATTCCTTCCCTCAGTTTCATTCACCGTCCTGTGATGGTGCAGTGACAGTGTGTCTGTCTTTCTCTCTTCCACTCTCATTTTCAAATTTCACCTGTTTTAATAAATATGTGTAAGTCGCTATTTTTATCTACTAACTACCACGCTTATATTGCATCCCCTGTTTTGGTTTCTTGTGCAACCAGTTCTTCCATGGGGTACTGGGACTTGCGGAAGTTCAAGTAAAAGCACAAACTCATTAATCTCGTGTTGGCGTCTGCTTAAAATGGTAGGGTGGGCTGGAACCTTTGACCAAGTTTCACATCATTATGAAGGTGTCTGTTTGTGGAGATCTCCTTTTATTTTGTTTCTTATGGAATCATAGTATGTTCTTAAATCTAGGGCCGCAAGCAGGTGGTGAATGGGACTGTTGCTGTTGATTCTGCTCTTCTCCAAGTATTATTATGGCTGGGGAGTTAGGTATGAACTCCTGCACACATGCTTACTTTAACTTAAGAAATCTAGATGATTCAACACACAGGCTCTTCTCTGTGTTTAACTGTGGAATGGTCAAAATTGCTACTTTGTAAATAGGTGCAAGAGAATGAGGGAAGGGTCCATAACTATTGGTACCATTAGTGCCTTAATGATGTGGGCAGATCAAGCCACCCCACCCCAGGAGTGTGGGACTCATCCCTATTGACAGTAATTACCTCAATGGCTGTCGGTCTAGAGCTAGTGTTTCTGGGTGATGTGAAATAGACACTTCTCCAATCCAAGGAAGAAATAACATGCACATTTAAACCCTGTCATCTGATTAATTGGAGAGTTTAGCAAGAAACTGGATAAAAGTAAATAACCTTGTACTTCCTCAACAGAGAGATGACCATCCAACTTCAAAGAAAAAACGCCAGGCAGGGGAGAAGATCATGTATACTTTGGTTTCAGTCCCACATGGCAATGACATTGCATCCCTTTTTGAACTTGATGCCACAACTCTTCAGAGAGCTGACTGCCTGGTTCCAAGGTAAAAAGAAAAATTATGGTTAAAAGATGTTTCTTTGAGTAATTATACCAGTAGGTAAGGAATGAAAATAATAATAATAATATATTTTTATGATATCATGGGAGCAAACATAAGTGAAGAAAAAATGTGTAAAACATTGTGCCTCTTCTGTGAGGAGGTTAACATAATTTGTTTTATTCTTATAAATAATTAAAATGTGCAGGAACAAAGAAATTCTGAAAAATTTATAAGAATCCTTTATTCTTATTACTTATCTGGCCTTTGGTTACTAAAATGAAAAATAATATAAAAACATTTCTATTTATATATTTATCATTTATTTTTATTATGTCAGATTTCCCATTTCATTCATCCATTTGTTCATTTATGTAGTCATTCAGTCAACAAATATCTATTGAACATCCATTACATTCCAGGCATTGCCCTTGGCATTGGGAGGACAACAGTGAACAAACTGGTTATACTCTCACATTCAAATAGGGGAGACAGGCAGTAAACAAAACAATAGACATAAAATATTAATAAAAGATCAGGTAATAAAAGTGCTTTGAAGAAAAAATGGAGGGTGTGGAGAGTTCTGTTAGGTAGGAGAGTTCAACTGTGGCCTCTCTGAGTTAGTACATTTGAAGAATGATCTGATTGAATTGAGGAATCAAGTCCTCTCTTCCTGAGAGGAATATTTCAAGCAGCAGGAACACGAAATGCAAAATGTTGAAATTTACTGGGTGTTTTTAAGGACCAGTGAGAAGGCCAGAGTAATTAGATAAAAGTGAGCGAGGGGGTGTGGGATTGGAAATAAGATTGCCAGAACTTAAGGTAAGACAATATCTTACATTCTTTTGCTTGAATTTGACCATTTTATTTTACCTTTCATTTATCTTTTTTGAGACAGGATCTCACTCTGTGGCCCAGGGTGTAGTGCAGAGGCATAATTATGGCTCACTGCATCCTCTACCTCTGGTACTCAGATGATCCTCCCACCTCAGCCTCCTGAGTAGCTGGGACTATAGGCATGCACAACCATGCCCTGCTAACTTTTGTATATTTTTGTAGAGATGAGTCTTTGCCATATTGCCTAGGCTGGTCTTGAACTCCTGGGCTTGAGGGATCCACCCACCTCAGCTTCTCAAAGTGCTGAAATTATAGGCATGAGCCACCATGCCCAGGCTAAATTTTTTAGTTAAGCTTTTTATTTTAGTTAAGCTTTTCTGTCTATAACTGTCCATCTTTCAACCATAAGGCTGTGATGCAGTCTCTAGATGCATCGAGGAGTCTTGCCCATATTGTTAGGGTTAGTGGGATGGCTCTAAATCGGCCTTGATGGAGTGGTATTGTGCTTGGCCTTGGCAGATGGCAGTGGTGAAGCCGAAGGCACCTATGCAAAAAGGCAGACGTTGTGTAGGTTTCCTCCAGGGAGGGTAAAAAGTTACTATAATAACACTATTGAGAAACATTGCTAGTAGAGCTTCCCAGGGTGTTTTGTGGCTATTCTCATTCATGAGAAATGTTGCCGAATTTCATACCTTTTATGAGTCCATCTCTCACTCTTTTTTGTTCCATCAATATAAGCCTGTAAAGAGATCCTCTCTTGTTTTACCTGACCCAGGTCTCTGGCTTTCTCCTTCCAGGACTGGGACCTTAATCAATCCTTACTATGACTTGACTTATTTTAGATTTAAGTCAGCAAAAAGGGAGCCCTTCTTGAACTCTAACCAAGAGAGTTTGCTTAAGGAAATGATAAAAGGGTCTTACTAGAAAGTGTATAGAACCACGATGATGGCCACCAAGCCTCCCTTTATATGGAATCATTAATCTATTACTTTTCAGAACTGTGGAAGCCCTATTCAGTATAGTGCAGAATTTTGTATTAACATCAATTCATCTGTCATTAATTGTATTAAAGCCAACATTAATTAATGCTTAATAATAACTACTATTATAATATAACTCTTGAGCACTTTTTATGTACTAAGTCCTGTGTCAGGTTCTTAATAAATATTATCTTATTGAATACTGGCAGTAACCCTTACAGATCAGGAACTAGAGACTGAGTTAGAACAGTGGATCTCAAGTTGACTGTAAATTAGACTCACCTGGGTAATGTTGACACCTTGCCATGCCCTGGCCACGCTGAGACCAATGAAATCAGAGTCTCACAGGTGGGGTGCAGGCTTTACTCTTTTTAAAGCATTTATTACCTAAGTGATTCTACTGTGGAGTCCAGTGTTTCTCAAACTTTATAGTCCAGTGCTGCTTAAACTAAATCACTGTACTAAATCACTTGGGGACCTGATGACAACTGAGTACAAATTACATCTCTTGTGTAATTCAATGTGGAAGATGCTAAGTGATAAAACAGAGGCATTTCAGAATTTCTAGATATTTGAACAAAGATTGGAAGACTGCTATTTTAGATTTGTGAAGCTCAGTTTGTATTTTATCTACTTTTGTAAAGGAGCAGAACCAGGTTGTTGAATGAATCTCTTTGCCTGAGGCCCTTGGCATTTTATTTGGTTTTCTTTTCTTGGCCCTAATGCTTTTTACCTTATGTTGTAAGACATATTTATGCCTTATCTTTATACTGATCTGTAAGCAACTTGAAGGCAGAGTACTTATTGTGCTTTTCTTTTTATAGGCACTATACACATATTTGTTAAAGAAATAACAAAAGATTATAAAAGATTTACTAAAAATGGTAATACTTGAGTAGGATGAAGTTCTAGGTGTCCTTTCTTAGGCACTCTGTCACAGTTTGTATCTAGTCAATTTTTAAAGTATATGTTACATGGAATTAGCAAATACTGAACCATTGTTCCTAGGGGAAATACAGAGTTAGATTCCTGTGAGCTTCTGGTCACAACATTTTTGTTGACCAATACATAGCCTTGTTCTATGTGTGCTTCTGTTTAAATACACCTTATTCAATATATGTTGCTGATTCATTAACATTGAATTTGTGGTCAGTAGCACTGTAACTCATGCATGAACGAAGCTCATATAGCACAAGTATTTTCTTTGTAAGGCATATCACAGCTTTCTTGTGCTTGGGAACACTAGACGTGCGTAACTTTAGGAACTTCTACACCTCATGTGGGGGCCATCTTAAACATCAAAATCACCAAAAAAAAAAGCACAGAAGTGTGAAAAACATGGCACTAAATAGAGCACAAAAAGGACACTTGTTTATAGCATGAGAACTGAGACAAGATGCAGAGCATCACCTTGTTCTACTTCAGCTTGGAAATGTGCCTACTGGGCCACTTAAATTTTTGTCACTCTATGTGTGTCCTGAAATGACCACAAAAGCTCCTTGAATACTGATTGGGGGGTTACAAATAAATTTTAGTGAGCAGGAGAATTCACTAGTACAGAAGCCACAAATAATGAGGATTTATTGTACATTAATACTTTTACATACAGATAATTAAACTACACAAACTACACTACTGTCTGCCAACAGTGTTAGCTGAGTTATTTGTTATTTGATCAATGTTCTTAGTTTAGCATGCATCAGAACTGCCTGGAGAACCTATTAAGCTACTCATTGTTGGGCTATACCCCCAAAGTTTCCGATTCAGTCAATGGGGATGAAGTTTCAGAATTTGTATTAATAACAAGCTCCCAGGCGATGCTGATGCCACTGGTCTAGGGACCACACTTTGAGAACTACTGGCTTAGGTAATAATGCTGCATGCTTTGAAATAGTCTATAATTCAGAATTTCCCCTTAAAGCAGAGGGATCTTGAGTCAATTACTAGTTAATATATATTTATGTTCATATCATATATGAAGCTGTTAAAGATGTCAATATGTAAATGTGCTAATTTTTTATAACTTGTTTTTTTATATTGTTTTGCTTTTAGGAACTCATATGTTCGGTTAAGGCATTTATGCACCAACACATGGGTAACCAGTACTAGTATCCCCATAGACACAGATGAAGAGAGGCCTGTTATGTTAAAGGTAAATGTCACTGAATATGGTTTAATTTTTAGCCAAATGCCATGCGAATAGGATTAGGATAGGAATGCTATGTGACATGTTCCTTGTACTCCATCTTCACCAATATTAGATATCATTGCAATTAATTACATCAAGCATGCATGTCTGCCAGTTGCTTAGGTAGCTGATCTAAATGGGTTGGAGGCAGCAAAGCTGTGATTCAGGAGAATGCTACGGAGACATCAAAAAGAACAGTAGCAGCCTATGGATGGAGAAGTAGAATCCAGGAGTGCCTTTTCTCTACTGTCAAAACTGGAGCAGAGGGCAAGTGTGAAAGGGAGAGGTTTCCAGTGGGGCTTTGGAACAAGGCAGGAAGTGGGCGCAGGAAATCTCTGTGCTCCTACAGCCTTTCGAGTGGACAAAGCATGTGAGAGTTACTGTGTTTGGATGATCTATTCTTGTCTTATATTTCTTAAACAGTACTAGATGTGTTAGTCCTCAGAATATTGTATAGTTGTTTATAAAACTAATCTTAATGGAAAAACACATTTCAGATTGGAACCTGCCAAACCAAAGAAGATAAAGAAGCGTTCGCCATCGTGTCTGTCCCACTGTCTGAAGTTCGAGACTTAGACTTTGCCAATGATGCCAATAAAGTACTAGCGACCACAGTTAAAAAGCTAGAAAATGGCACAATAACTCAGAATGAAAGGAGGTGAGTATCTTTTTAAATGGGTCTTAAATAATCAAGAGTCAGTTGTCAATTGTTATAGTAAGCCTGATGTGAATGAATGACTCTAAGGGAATATTTATAACATTCTCAATAGCACATCTGCTTCTGAATGAGGTGGGAACTTACTCCTCTTGATCATAGTGAGTGAATGAAATTTGTCAAATTTAAATCTGGTAGAATATTTACTTGTCCCATTTTAGCTTTGCTTGAAAACAGTTGTTTTAAGTTATTTGCTGGTCATTCTTTTTTAAATCCTTTGTGGGAGATTTGCAATACCTTTTGCTGTGCATGATTTGATATTTGGATTTAGAGTTCTAAAGGACCTAAAGAAAGTTTTGTGTTTCTCTGATGTTATTTATTCAAGATGAATTTCTCAGCTCTGGTACCAGAAAACAGACAGATATGTAAAACCAGAAAAATTGTCTGCAGGATGTAGCTCTCTGCCCTTATAGCTTGTTCAGAGAAACTGGATCCTTGATTCTTAAGCTCTGGTTTTGGAAATAAGTAAGAAAGAGAATGATATTGACAGCTAGCGATTATTGCATGCCTGCTTTGTGTCAGTTACTAGGTTGGGCACTGTAAATATATTTTATCTGATCCTTCAAATAGCCTTGAAATAGGTATTCTCATTTTACATAAAGGAAAATTGAGGAGGGTAAGCAAACAAGGTAAGGCTGCATAGTTAATACTAAGGGGAGATTCAGTCATGTATGGTTTAAAGTCCATATGCTTTCCAGTGTGCCCAAGCACAAGCATCCTCTGTATTTCCTCTCTTCATGATCTGCTACATGCCTGTTAATTTAAACAAGAAAAAGCTATTTGCCAATTTCCCAGGCATTCAGACGTTGGAACTCTCATACACAGCTGGTGAGATAATAATTGATATATGCACCTTGGAAAATAGTTTGGCAGTAACTAGCAAAATTAAAGAAGCAAACACCCCATGATTCACCAATTCCACTCCTAGGCTGAGCATTCTTGAACATCTGTCCAAAAGACTCTCCTCCACATGTGTACCAGGACACATGTTCAAGAATGTTCAGCTTTGTTTGAAATAACCCCAAATGGAAAACCATCCAAATGTCCAACACCAGTTGAATAGAGGATGAAAACTGTGTTATTTTCATACAATGGAATACAGTTTTGCGATGAAAATAAATGAACTACATCTATGTGCAATGGCGTGGCTAAATTTAACAAACGGATTCGGTGAAAACTAGACACAACAAATACATTCACTGTAATGCTACGTGTAACATTCAAAAACAAGCAAAAACAAACTCCACTCCATTTCTTTGGGGGCCTTTAAGCAATTAGAAGAACCATAAAGAAATGCAAGGAAGTCATTGTGACAAAAATCAGGATGGTGTTTCTTCTTAGAGGGGAGGGAGGAGTTATGCTCCCTGAAGGTTTGAAAGGCGCCTGCAGGGTTCCATTTCCTTCTCTTGGTGGTGACTTCATGGGATTCACTTATCAGTAGTCCTTAGCTATATGTTTTAGAACTTTTTAGATATACATCTTACAATATAGAAGAACAAAAAATCCAAGTTTGCTTCCCTCCATCCCTGTCAATGAGAAAAAAATCCTAAATATGCAAACAGATGGAATAGCTGTTTCTCAACTTCCTCTCTGTTCTTACCTCTGTTTTTTCCCCTGCCAAACTTACATTTCAAAACAACTATTGTATATTCAGTCACACCTCCAACCCTGTTAGGGGAAATGAATAAAGGCCGGAAGCAGAAACAAGTGGCCACTTTTTTGGGCTATAGACAATTAAATATCAGAGCTACATTATGGCAGGAAACGGATTCTAATGTGCAGATAGGAATTTTTATTTGTCTGTTATTGATCTAACTTTTCCTTTCGTACATCTATTTTCTTGTTTCTAACACTCTTATATATGCACAGCAATTTTCTTGGCTTCACTTAAAAAGTCTCCCTTGCTAAGCATTAAGGTATTCCTTGAAGAAAAGGACAGATAAAAATTCAGATTATGGGCTCTCCATCATCACTGGCTGGAATCCTGTGCAAGTCACTCTTCTTCAGTCATGGCTGAAGATGATCTTAACCTCTCAAGATGATTCTAAGGAAGGTGGTGGACTAGGACTAACTAGAGAGCATGCATTTTTATTTCCTTTGCTTCTTTCTTTCCCTACTGTTTTGGAGTGAAAAACATCATATTAATAGCAAAGAGAAGGCTTTGCCTAAGAAATATGAAGGTACAATTATTGATCTTAATTTAGTAATTTCAGAAAAGCCACCGCCTATCAAAATTCATTCAAAGCTGCCTGTCAGTAAGGTAGAGCTTGTTGGCAGAGTTGAATGCATTTGTATTATTTTCTCAGTTTTGGAATTGAATATAAAATTATTTCTGAAAATAACTGACAACTCTGACTTTTTTCCCCCTATGGAAAATGAAGCGATTATTATCTGTGTCAAAAAGCCTGTGTTGTTGGAATTTTCTCTCTCTCTCTCTCTCTCTCTCTCTCTCTGTCTTCCCTCTTTACTTATCCCAGGAATGAACATGAGCTCTGGAAGTACAGCTCCTGTGTTATGCTTCAAGATCCTCAACCTTAAATATTTTCAGTGGAATTTTCTAATCTTATTCTACATGACCACACCCACAAAATAGAGAGGACTGGGAACATGTCGCCAGAGAGAGAGGAGAGAAGATGGAGGGGTGTTAACTGCCATCCAGAACTTGAGGAAGTGACACAGGCAGTCCTTGACCAGCATTTCTGCACTGTGTTTACCTCTGAGGGTGCACAAAATACTGGGGTTTCTCTCAAGCAGTGAGAGTTCAGAGATGGGATTAATTCAGTATAACTAAACTCCTGGTACGTGCCAGGCACTTGGTCATGCAGCATGGGTATATGTGGTGCTAATGTGGTGGTGAAGGCCACAGACTATCCCATGTCTCTGTGAAACTTACTCTCTTGAGGGATGGTTCTCATTCCCCATGATAGGAGCTCAGGATCTAGAACAGGGGTCATCCACCGTGTGATCACCAGATCAGATGTCGTTCTGATGTTGCTTCTCAGAGCAACGTCATTTTCTCTTAAATTTTATTTGCCAGGTATGACTATCCTGACACCAGCAATCTTTAGTTTAACATTTGCCTGATGTCTGTTTTTCCATATCTTTTTATTTCAGGTTTCCTGGTCATTTTGTTTTATTGAGCAGCAGAAGGTTGATTGTAACAGTCTAATCTGATAGTCTATTTTATTTATTTTTTTGAGGCAGGGTCTTGCTCTGTTGCCAAGGCTGGAGTGCAGTGGTGCAATCATGGCTTACTGCAGCCTCGACCTCCTGGGTTCAGGTGATCCTCTCGCCTCAGACTCCCAAGTAGCTGGGAACACAGGCACATGCCACCACACCCAGCTAATTTTTTGGATTTTTCTAGAGACAGGGTTCACCATGTTGCCCAGGCTAATCTCAAACTCCTGAGCTTCAGCAATCTGCCTTTCTTGGCCTCTCAAAGTGCTGGGATTACAGGTGTGAACCACCGTGCCTGACTGATAGTCTGTTTTCATTTGCAAGTTTAATGACTTTGTATTTGACAAATTTATTTGAATACATTTTTAGTTTTGTTTTTCTTTCTTTAGTGTAGCTTGTTTTCATTTCCTTTACTTCTTTCTTGCTTTCTGCTAGATTAATAGTTTGTATTCCCCTCCCACCATTTTACTGTTTACTGATTTAGAAGCTTTCGATCATATTTTCATTCATTAGCAATTACGCTTGAATTTTTATCATACATTTTGACTGTATGTTCTTCTTGATAAACTTGAAGTTACTAATTTTTTTCTCCCTCCCATAAAAGAAAAGTGTTGCAGCATGCTTTGGTTTTGCCCTGACTTTCTCCCTCCCATCTTTCTTGTAGTAGTTGTCTAGAACCATAGTTCTGTGTTTATTCTCTTCATTTGTAAAATTTTATTTTAATTTGATAAACACAAAAGAATAAATGTATCAACATAAATCATGATGCACCACCTTTTGTTTCTACTGCTAAATTGTGTTCCTTTCTTTTAAAGACAATGAAACATCTTTTTTTTAAAACTTAAAACATTTATTTTATTTCTTAATCTTATTTCAGTAGTTTTTGGGGAGAGAAATTTAGTTTCTAAATTTTTTTTAGTGATTAATTATATTTTTAAAATAATTTTACCTCTTCTTCTGCCCCTTTCTTTACATTTTCTTCCTGTATTTATTATTTGTATCTCACTTATTCGTTCTCTTTTCATCTTGCTGAAATTTATTCTTTAGTCCATTCAGTGGAGAGGCCTATGGGTTATAATCTTTTTAGTTTTTACATATATGAAAATATCTTTATTTTGCCTTTACTTTTTTTTATTATTATTTTTTAAGACAGAGTCTCACTCTATCGCCCAGGGTGGAGTACAGTGGTGTGATCTTGGCTCACCGCAACCTCCGCCTCCCAGGTTCAGCGATTCTTCTGCCTCAGCCTCCTGAGTAGCTGGGATCATAGAAACCCACCGCCACACCCGGCTAATTTTGTATTTTTAGTAGATACGGGGTTTCACCATGTTAACCAGGATGGTCTTGAACTCCTGACCTCAGGTAATCTGCCTGCCTTGGCCTGCCAAAATGCTGGGATTAAATTCCGCACCCAGCCAGAATTTACTCTCTTAGCACATTTTTTTTTAATTTTTTTGAGATGGGGTCTTGCTCTGTCTCCCAGGCTGGAGTGCAGTGGCACGATCTTGGCTCACTGCAACCTCTGCCTTCTGGGTTCAAGCGATTCTCCTGCCTCAGTCTCCCGAGTAACTGGGATTACAGGTGTGAGCCACCGTGCCTTTGCTTTACTCTTAAGTGATACTTTATATATGAGATGTCAGATTGATTATTACTTTCTATCAGTATTTTAAAGCTATAATTTAATTACTTTCTAGCATATCTTGTTGCTGTTAAGAAATCTGCTGTCAATAGACTTGTTATTCTTTATTGATAATTTTTCATGTCTTGGTAATTTTATATATTATTTTTCTTTGCTTTTGATGTCTTAAGATTTCACCATGATGTGTTTACAAAGGAGTTTTATTTTTGTTTTTTCTCAGTTGACACTTAAGGTATACTTTTAATCTGAATACTTATTTCTTCCTTCAATTCTTGGAAATTTTCAGCCATTTTCCTGCAAATATTACTTCTTTGTCTTTTTCTTTCTGTCTTTTGGAACTTTTATGAGATATATGTTGGATCATCTTAATTCATCTTTTTTCTCTCTTAACTTCCCTTTTATTATTTGCCTTTTAATATTTCTCTGTGCTATTATCTGGATCGATTTTTGATACTGCCTGAGTAGCTGGGACAACAGGAGCATGCCACCTCACCCTACTAATTTTTTAATTGTTTTGTGCAAACAGGCTTTCACTCTGTTGCCCTGGCTGATTTTGAACTTGGGCTCAAGCAATCCTCCTGCCTTGACCTCCCAAAATGCCAGGATTACAGGCATGAGTCTCTGTGCTCAGCATATAATTTTTATCTCTCAGAATTTTTTTTGTTTGTATATCCACCTATTTTTCATTTATATTGGCCCTTTTAAAATATGTTGTCTTTTTAATATATTGCTTTCTTTATCTCTTTGAAGACTGAATACACACTCATTTAAAACTTATTTTGATACACACTCATTTAAAACTTATTTTGAAACTGTTTTGTTACTCGGATGTTGTCGGTGGTGGAGTAGCCTCCCGATGCTTTAGTATAGTGGCTATCTTCCTCAATGTCAGCTTTCCTTATGTGCTTTGGACTTTTACTATGTGTGGTTTTCTTAGGTGGGAGATTTTTGTTTTTCCTTTGTCTACATTCACTTGTCTTCTCTGTCAGTTTTATGCTGGCTTCTACCTGGCTTCCCTCAACTAGACCAGAGCCAGATCTGATATCGGGAGCTGAGAGTCCATGTTCTCTGGTAATATGATACTTTAATCATGGAGATAGCTGGTGGCTGGGTCTAGCCCTATCCATGTGAATCCATTGTTTCCTCCTATCACTGCACAGCCAAAGCTTGAATAAGGGCCACTGAATTTTAAGTTTTCTTTAAGAGGTTAGAGAAGCCATATGTTCATCTCTGCTTCATATGTTTAGTTTATTTCCCTACCATGTGTTTTTGGTCCCTCTTACCTTGCAAGAGTTGAACATCATCCCTGTTCCTCACTGTTTTTCTTATTTTGTTCATTTTCCATAAAGCTTAAAAAGCAAACTAGTAAGATTGCGTGAGTTAGTAGGAGCTCACCACTGCCCAGTATAGAATCAGAGTTTGAGCTAAATTGAAAACAAACCAGCTCTTTGTTTTGCCACAAAAGGGATGCTTGAGGCGCAAGGTAAAAAAAAAAAGGTTTCAACAGTTTCAGAGGTCAAAAGAGAAGGTTGCTCTTCCTGGCTTCCATGGCCTTGTCATGAAGAGGTGGGCTTTATATGTAGGGTTGACGTATCATGATTTGCAATCTAGACTGTTAATATTCGTCATGATCATTCCATTAACCATCTCCAATTTTCAGGGCATTTGAATGACTTTGAAACAGAGCGATCTGTAGTTGCTCACAAAACTTTACTTTCTTAGATATCTAAATATTTGATTACAGTTATTGAAACAGTAAGAGAAAAGGAATCTTTATAATTTGAAAAAGAAAATACAAATATTTATGCCCAAACTGGACTTGCATTGGGCATATAGAAACTGAAGTTCAACTTCTTTTCATTGTGCTGAAGTAACCTCAGCTCCAAATTTGTTTTGTTTTGTTTTAAGAGCAACAGAATGATTTGGAGGACATTAAATCACAATTTCAAAAGAAATTCACACCACATTTGGATGCACATGAAACGCGTTTTACGTTTCTGTGGCTGCCTTCAGAGATTCAACGTAACTATGTCCGTGAATTATGTCAGACACAGTTTTCCAAAAGAAACAGACTGGGTTAAAATTTAAAATAGGCGTACCAAGAAAACATAGAATCCCAGGAATTTTGGAGGGAAGTTTATGATCCCTGGAAGTATACTGAAATTTCTCTGGGTGACTAAATTATGGATTCTAGGTGTGTCCACTTGGCTTCACGAAGCGCATTCTCTTTCAAGACGTAAATCGGGAGATAAGATCAAGATGTTTTCCTATCAAAAGTATTGAAAGAGAAGAAAAGAGATGTTTTCCAACTGAATACATTCTATACTTTCCTGGAATTGTCGAAGCTCTTAAAATGTAGTTTTCTTATGAATGTGTTCATGATTAGCATCATTGTATTCACATGCTAACAACAGCAGATAAAGATGCTAACACTATATGGATAAAGCTAATTTAACTATTTATTGGTCAGCTTTTGTCTTATTCCAAAAAAATTATGTGTTTATTGAATAATTAAGTTGTACTTTACCACTAATATAATTTAAAAAATGCCTTGACCCTTCCAATACAGATTCCTCCTCTGCTTACCCATTTTTGCAATAGCTTGAACCCCCCTGCCCCCTCCCTCAATTGACTAACACAAATGGAAAATGACAAAGAGCAGGCGGAGGAAGGAGGAGGAAAAAAGTGAAGAGAGGAAGGGCTTTCAAGACACTTCCTGTACTAAATGCCACTGAAGTTCAAGTAATAGTTGTAATAATAACCAAAATATAGATTTAAAAGTGAACATTGGTGTATGGTTTTAGAATTTCGTGAAATTGATAGGTCATTTAATACTTCCAGTATTTTGAGTGTCAGATTGCTTACTCTGTCTCTATTCACAGGTCATTTAAGTTTTTCCTATTCTGTACATTGGGTAAGTTGAAATGTGGGGAGGACTAGGAAATGTAGTTTGAGTTAACAGTAAAAAAATAAAGAAAAAGAATTGAAATTTAGGAATTTAGTATAGCTGTTTTCCCTTAAGCAGAAATATGCTGCTTTGCTAGTCAGTTGTGGAAAGTCATCTGGTGGTGTCATCCTACCTACTCGTGTGTAGTTGCGACTCACATGGCTTTATTTGATAATAGTCTGCAAACACTTGAGAACTGGAGGCACAAGCAGAGGTTGGAGATGCTGGAGAAGGAATTTTCTTTGTAAAGGTTTAGGTAAACAGTAACTGTCTTAGAGACTATTTTGTCAATTAAATACCTTTTTTGTTATAAAATACCTTGTTTTCAAGTGGGTCAGTTCTTATTACTTAATAAAAAGAAATTTCCATGGATTTGAGTTCCACTCCTGAAGAAAAAGTAAAAAAATCTATCTGCCTATCTATCGATCGATCGATCGATCGATCAATCGATCGATCTATCTATCTATACCTACCTACCTATCATATATCTATACATTTTCCAAAATTAAGCACACTGTAAAGTAAAATTTCCTTTTCATTTTATAATAGGTTTGTAACCAAATTATTGGAAGACCTCATCTTCTTTGTTGCTGATGTGCCTAATAATGGACAAGAAGTTCTGGATGTGGTTATCACTAAGCCAAACCGAGAGCGTCAAAAATTGATGAGGGAACAAAACATACTGGCGCAGGTGAATTTTTTCATGTACTAAATTTGTATATTTTATTTTCTGAATTGCAGTATCAGGAAAGTACTTGTATTAGTTATCAATTACTATGAAGCAAATGATCCCAAAACTTAGTGGCTGAAAATACGATATTTCCTATCTCACAGTTTCCGTGGACTAGAGATCTAGGCGTGGCTTACATGGGCCGATCTCGCTCAGGGTCTCTCACCAGGCTACAGTCAAGGTGTTTGCTGGGGCTACAGGCATCTCAAGATTCAACTGAGAGAGGACTCGCCTTCCAGTCCTCTCACATGGGCGTGTCTCAGGAGTGCCTCAAGACAAGGCAGCTTGCTTTCCTTAGAACTAAGGGATCCAAGAGAAAACTAGAGGGGACGCTCAGGTGGAAGCTACCATCTTTGTATAACCTAATCTTAGAAGTAACATCAGTTCTACTGTGTTCTATTAGTTAGAAATGAGTTAATAAATCTAACCCATAGTTAAGGAGAGAGGATTCTATGAGGCTGTGAATATCAGGAGGCAGGAATATCAGAGACCATTGTAGAGACAGCCTACCATGGACCTCCAAAAACCCTGTATAGTCAGACTATCTCCAGAAAATATGCTGGAAAAATTCCTAGGTAGAATTTCCAGGTGAACTTGGAAAGTATGATCTCCATCTGCTTCCTACATCTTTCCTTCTCTTCCCTAGGAAAGTAGGGCAGTCTGTTCATCAGCTTACAAGTGCTCTGTACAATATTCTATTTTTTTTTCCCTGAAAGTACAGAACTGGTCATATATTACATCTTCTTGAAATTGTTTGTAACACATCAAATTGATTCACTTCCTAATGCTATGCACATATGGACATACCTATATTTATGTATTATTTTTATTCTATTATTGCTATTTAAATTAATGAGTTCATTAATGAAGTACAGACTCAAGGAAGATATTTAAAACATAAAAATCATGCTCTTGATACACATATTCTTATTGATTTGGGAAAGGCAAATAGTAGACATAATATTAGTTATTATATGTAGCTGATTGTCTGAAAATACAAAATCAACTTTTTTCTCCAATAAAATAAAGGTTGCAAATCTAATAGGACTTTTTTCGAGTAATTATTCTATAAAAACATTTGATTTCAAATAATTTTAGGACCTTGGATGATTTATTAATAATATCTGAACCAACATATGTCAAATATTTTATTTTTGTATGATAAATATAAAATTAAAGGCTCAGTGAATACAAAATTATTAAAGAAACTTTACTTCATATCATATTTCATGAATTCCAAAGAATCATTCCTTTCTATTTTGCTTTCATGTATTAATGCTCATGCCCTTGACTCTGCTCTTTCATAGACAATTTCCTCATTCTAGCAGCTCATCTCCAGGTGATCCCTCCTGCTGTCTTGCTGCCGAAAAGAGTTATATTCCTCAGTGCTTTTTAAATGCTTCCTAACTGCTAACCCTCTTACAAGAATCTGGCTTCCTGGGTGCCACCAGCTGCCCATGTGGCTCCTAATTTGTCACATTTGAATGCTGATACGTTCATCGATTTGGTCACATCTTTGTGTTCAAACAACAATAAATTAACTCTTTTATAAAGTAGTTTACAAGCAATGTTTGGAAGTCATTTTCTGATGTCAGTTTTAATGAAAAGTAAATGTTTTCTTTATATTAGTTTGATTTTGAAAGGTTCTAGAAAACAATAGAAGAAACTATAGAGCCCCTAGAAATCAAGCTACATTTTAGTTCATCTGAATATGTTCATGTAACTTGGTGAAATTAAACATCTTCATATTTCTTATTTTATAAAATATGAGTTCTAAACAAAATTAAGCATTTTATTTAAAGAATGCTTTTGTCACTCAATGTAGGGGACCCTTTTAGCAGTGCTTTTCTGATCCTTGATATGTTGGTCCTGTAAAGTAAATCCTCTTTGTTTTTCCCCTTTACACTAACAATACTCAAATTTATGTAAGTGTTTTTTGAATCAATGTTCTTATTTGTTTAAAAAAAAAAGGTTGCAAAACATTTTATTCATCAGAATAGGTGGCTGTTTTTATTCCTGATAGGTATTTGGAATTCTTAAAGCACCCTTTAAAGAGAAAGCGGGAGAAGGCTCAATGCTGCGACTTGAAGATCTGGGGGATCAAAGATATGCACCCTACAAGTACATGCTGCGGCTCTGTTACCGTGTCCTGAGACACTCTCAGCAGGATTACCGGAAAAATCAGGTCGGAGAGTAGCCCCCATTTTAAACTGTTTCATATTTAAAAAGTATGGACAAGGTTCTTTGGTTATAATTCTACAGCATAGAAAATATGAATGGGAAATTTCACTTAGAAATTTTATGTTGGACAATACATAAAAATGATTTGTAAATATTTTTGAATTATATTGACCATGGCTTTATTCTTCCATATGAAATTAGAATCACTGGGGGAGGATGTCCTGAGTACTAATATGTGCTTGTTATTGGCTCCTGGTGGCCAGGACATCCTGGATCTATTATGTAAGGAGGAATGGAACATTTTTGGCTTGAGGAACATGTGAGGTACAGCATCCCTGTGTATGGACCAAAGAGGTTATAATTTAATGGAAAAGATATGATGGGAGACAAAGAAAAGACACAGAGAAAAACAGAGTTATGGGAATTCACAAGAGAGAGAGAGCCCAGTGGTGGCTCTGGGAACCAAGGAAGAATTCTTGGAGAAGGAAGCCTTTGGGTAGGAAGAGAATCATTTTCATAAATTGTTCGGGAAGAGGTATTTGTGAAGAGAGATCTATGAAGTGAGAATGATAGATGCTAGAAAGGGCATGTTTGCCCTAAGATATTTGCAACTGCTGAGGTCAGGGAACCCAGGTGGATCTAGGGGTACAGCTAACAGTTACCAGTTGCAAGTGAAATTTCTCTTAAGTCTCATTTTTATCTTAAAAATACAAGCCAGGTGTTGTGGCTCAAGCCTGTAATCCCAACACTTGAGGAGGCCACGGTTGGGGGATTACTCGAGGCCAGGAGTTCTAGACCAGCCTAGGCGATATAGGGAGGTCCCCATCTCTACAAAAATGAAAAATAACTGGGTATGGTGGTGTGTGCCTGTAGTCCCAGCTACTAAAGAGGCTAAGGCTGGAGGATAGCTTCAGCCTCGGAGTTTGAGGCTGTAGTGAGTTACGATCACACTAGTACACTACAGCCTGAGTAACAGACCCTGCCTCATACAAAACAAAGTAATCACAAGCTTAATCTTTTGCAATATGTTCAATAATGTAAATGTCTAACATAAAATTGCGTAAAACTCATCATTGTTTGATAAATTAGTGTTTCTCTTAATCCATTTGAGGACAGAGTGCATCACTGTAAGTTTCATTGACAAGTTTGGTCCATGAAGAAGGATGGTGTGGGAGAGGGCTGGAAGGGCAGGGCGGGCTAAGCCACTAGGGCCTAGGATGTCAATCCTAGAAGGTGGAGGTTATTTGGGAAGAGTTAGTAGTATTTATTGTGTACTTACTTTGTACCAGGCTCAGTTCTACATACTTGTCATGAATTAATTCAGTAACACTGAATTAAGATGAAGGACAGAGGCACAGAAAGGTTAAGTAACTTGTCCGAGGTGATAGTTTAAGAATGGAGCCAGTATGCAAACCCAGGCTCTGAATCATCGCACTGTTGCACCTTGGTAGTTTGAACATTTTGGGGGAAGAGAAAAAGATTTGTTTTAAGAAGACTGTGTTAAAATATTTTGGCTTCATAATTGTGTTTGAAGAGTAAGAAAGGTCTGAAAAGAGTATGTAAAAACATTAGCTAGAAGATAAATCATATGGCAAGGAATAGGAGTAAGAGCAAGGGGACGATATAAACAAATCCTTAAATATTGTCTAATATAATCCTAGTTATAAACACCCTTCTTGCTGGTCCAAATGCTGTCACTAGAATTATTTTTCCCAACTTCATTGGGTTCCTTTAAGATGGCAAGATGAAGTAGATAGCGTTGTTCATATTTTTTTGGAAGAAGAATTAAGTACCAGAACATTAAATGGCCTTCCTTCAAGCACTCAGAGGCAGTGATGGGGCATGCTCCTAGTATCAGACCCTGAGTTCTTAGTGGATATCTGGAGTGGGGAAGGAGAATGAGAGGCTGCTCAATGTTTTCTACTGGCTCTCAGTTTTCTTCTTGGGTTTGGAGAAATACTCTTGTGAGACAGGTCACCACTTCACCCATACGAGCAATGCTGTATTACAGAGATTGACATTAACAGGAAAAAAAAAGAACCCAACAGGTCTGTAGAGGTTACCCAGGGCCCTCAGGCCCATCAGGTCCCATGATGTGCACCCTGCTTGATGGCTGTTAGCCTTTGGAAGGGTGCTTAGGGCCTCTTCCCTTTTCTGCAGCCCCGGGCTTCAGGATGGCGGGGAGCCAGATCACTTTGGATTTGGTTATTTCGCTAGTCACTAGTAGGTTCCCTGGGCGGCATGTCTTAACTGGTGTCAGTTCTGTCTCTCAAGATCTGGCACACATGGTTCTTTCTCACTCCCCTCTCAGTCTTGGCCAAGGATCAGTGTGTACGTACACACACCCCCCCACACACACGTGTGTGCACACCTCCCCCCCGACACACATACCCCTACCTAGTCATATTACTCCTTTCAGGTACATGTTTATGCACTTCAAGGACCTGCTTTCTGGGTTTCTTTGGAGCATAGAGATAGAGCATAGATGATAAAGGGATGAAGAATCCCTAGCCTTTGTTAAGGGTTATATTTTATTTTTCTTCTCTTTCTATTGCGTGTTCTAATTGAATCTCAGTGATAACTGAGAAATGTTTTCTCATTTCTATTGAATTAAGAATGCTTTGTAGAAAGCATAAAACAACTTTCTGATGTTTTTAGAACATGACTTTAAAATGTTCTGTATTATTATGTAGTATAGGTTATATAGTATTATAGCTATAATTACTTTGTTTTTTTATCTTCACCTATATGTTATAGTCCTAATAGGAAGTTCATTTGTGACTTAACACTAACCCATGTATTTAATATTGAATCTCTATTTATTACTATTTATAAAATTTGATGCCACCTCTAATTTCATTTAGTTATTTATTAACATCTTTGGATGTTTGCCTTATACCAGGGTATGACTACAGCAGGCATGAAAGTGTATAAATCAATATGTATCCTTAAAATGATATACTAACAGAAGACATTTACTTTACTTAACTGGCTACCCAATACACAAAACCATCATTCTGAAAGGCCACAAAAATGCTGCTTAGCATGTAATTAGATTTGTGCAATCAATATCATTTTCAAGGAATAGGTACATTCCAGTAAATTTTACCTAAGGCAAAATCACTTTCTAATCAATAAATTCTCTCATCATAGAAACAAAGACACATTTCCAGGGAGAATCCCAGGGAATCAAAGTAAGAACCTTTCATGGTAGAAGAGGGTGAAGCTCACCAGTTCCATGGCAGTGTGAGATGTGCTGCTTGTAGACAGAACATGGGAGATGAACAATAGTGGTTTGGGATATAGGAAAATTAGTGTGATGAATAAGGAGTAGATCAAACAATAACATGATTGAACCTCCCCAGTGGCTTTCTCTTACTTTTAGAATAACCTCTTTGCTCTTTACCATGGCTCACAAGGATTCTTTTGACTTACCTCTCCAACTTCAACTTTGCCTTCTGCCCCTTACCACTGCCTAGCTACAGTGGCCACCTTCTGTTGATAGAACACAAGCTTGGTTCTACTACCACAGGGCCTTTGCACTGGCTGCTCCCACTGCCTAGATGACTTCCCTCTAGGTCTTCCAATGGCTGCCTCGTTCTCTTCATTCCCATCCTAGCTCACATGTCACTTCTTCAGCATCCACCCTATCTAACGTTGACACCTTTCTCCGTTCCTCTGTTTGTTTCATTTCACTTGTCAACATGTAATGGAATATAGTAGGCCTTTAAGAACAAGAAACATTTATTGGGCGAATGGATCTAATCAATAAAATGATTAATCACATTGCCCTGCTTGGTAGCTTTTTAAAGATAAAAATTATATGATGGGGGGAGGGGGGAGGGATAGCTATTAGGAGATATACCTAATGTAAATGACAAGTTAATGGGTGCAGCACACCAACATGGCACATGTATACATATGTAAGAAACCTGCACGTTGTGCACATGTACCCTAGAACTTAAAGTATAATAATAAAAAAATTAGATTACATTTTACCATTATTTTAAAGAAAAGATCTTGCATATCATTCTAGCCTGTTCACATAAAAGGAATCAACCCAAGTCCATCTAGGATCTTCAAGTAACAACCCAGATCTCATGTCTCATGAATGAAGTATCAGGCCGTCATTTTCTTTTCTATAATTATGCCCAAATCATTGGCTGTGACTTTAAGTAAGAGATTGAAGAAAAGCCTCTGTTAGACTGATGAAATCCAAAGTTATTGTGTCATAAAAACTTATTTTAATTAGATTTATTTTTTCCACTTAGACTGTAAATGCCTCTCTTGATAATTAGGTCTAGGTGTATAACTTTTTGGTAGAAGTTCAATAATGTATATGTCAGTATGTTTTCATGTCTTTCCTCAAAAAGTTCTATTTGTTGAAAAATTTACTTGCTGTTCTTTTGAGAAAATTTTTAGTGAGCTTTCTGTTATGAATAAATTAATCAATGTTGTCGACCCTAATAGAACGTGTTATTTGTAAACTGTTTGGCGGTGTATTCTGACAGCCTTTCCGCTTTGCAGGAATATATTGCTAAGAATTTCTGTGTCATGCAGTCCCAGATTGGCTATGATATTTTGGCAGAAGATACTATCACAGCTTTGCTGCACAACAACAGAAAACTACTAGAGAAACATATCACAGCAAAAGAAATAGAGACGTTTGTCAGTTTACTCAGGAGAAATCGGGAGCCAAGGTTTGAAATGATTCATGCGGTATTCTTTCCTAGTGGAGACTGTGGCTTTGTGTTTTATTTTTAGAACTTTTAAAAGTTAGAATTCTTTCATGTCACTAACTTTTATGGACAAACTATGTTGGGCTTCTTGCTATAATAATTGTATATAATAAAGAGTTACTACCTCATAAGAGATCAAAGCCCTTTATAGACATACTTAAGTATGATTGATTTTCACTCTGAATCCTCATGATTTTATAGACCTTTATGGTTTCTCCAAATACATTCATATTATTTAGATCCTTGCACACGTGTGTGGGATACACTGGTTGTATATTATTACCCCCATTTTAGAGATGAGAAAGTAGAAGCCTAGCGAGCAACTTGCCCAGGCGTACCCTAATAGGAATAGAACGCAAGGTAAATCAAGGGTTTCTGATTCCACATCAAGTTCTTTTTCTGTTGTACCATGCTGCCTTATCTTGAAGAAATGAGTGCAGAAAAGTCAAACCAGTTGGCAGTGTTTCCTTAGCTAATTAGTACAGCAAATAAATGCTAGAAGGTAGAAATGGGCCTCTGACTTGACCAGGTCATAGTAATTTTCATTAGGCGTGTGCTCTATTTCTATTTTATTCAGTACAGCATTAGCTTTGATCTGCTTTTGGTTTGATATTCAGCTCTGGGGAGACTCACTTTAGGGGAGATGAATGATTTTCTAAATATAAGTCACGGTGCTGTGGGAGGAATATCATAAAATAAATAGAAGCAAACACATCGGTTTTGAAACAAGACTTGTATTAAATAAAAAAAATTATATGTTTAATTTGTTTCTAATGATGCAGTAAACAACACATTAGACAAATGTTGCATGGAAATAATATTAAAACATATAATAAGTTTATTTTATTATATTCCAAATTATGTCTTTATTCTGATGCTTTTATAAAATGCTTTGTCTTCATATTCCATTTAGTTTTTTTCTCTTGCCAGGTTTTTGGATTATTTGTCAGATCTGTGTGTGTCTAATACCACTGCTATTCCTGTAACTCAAGAACTCATCTGTAAATTTATGTTGAGTCCAGGCAATGCAGACATTCTCATTCAAACTAAGTAAGCCCAGATAATGGATGCATCATTTTCCTGTTGATTATTTGTAAGCATTGTAGTTCTTTGTCATATTTACAAGTGTACTTTTTAGTAGATTTTTGTATGTGCTATTTATTTGAAGGGTGGTCTCAATGCAAGCAGACAACCCCATGGAGAGCTCCATCCTTTCAGATGACATTGATGATGAAGAAGTTTGGCTCTATTGGATTGACAGCAACAGGGAACCTCATGGCAAAGCTATCAGGCACCTTGCTCAAGAGGCAAAAGAAGGCACCAAAGCTGACTTAGAAGTTCTTACCTATTACAGGTTAAGTATTGTAGACAATCTTACAATAATTCTCAATCTCACGTATTAATTGAGAACCGGTTCTCTGTAGCCACTAGAAGTTAGGTATCTATGAAGAGGCAATTTTAAAAGTCATGTCAGAATAAGGTAGCTGAAATATTTAGTAGTATTTAAAATATTCAAAATACAAGTTAACATGTCTATTTTCTGCATACACCACTTGTAATTTCCTGGGTTTTCACCAGCTTGGAATTGTTGTGCAGCCAAAGGCTTTGTCCTCTATTGAGTAGAGTGGAGGCAGATGAGAGACATGTTAGGACCTAGGTGATGGAGTCCAGAGGGATATAGACATGGGGCTAAGGAAATTGATCTGGCCACAAGGGTAGCCAGTAGTTTAGTATAGAGTGGATTATGAATATGTGGTGACCTAGGGCCTAAGAGAAACTGGTGCCTGTAGTTATGAAAGTTCAGCACTGGCATATGGCAGCAGAAGTCCTGAAGGCAGTTCCTGGTGGTCAGCATATTGGGAGCAAGAACCTAGCTGGTGTCTTTGAGTTGCAAGGATAGAAACCCAAGGCAGAAGCCTTGGGGCCAACTTGGGCCCAAATGGCAAGAATCAGACAAAGACAGATGACGCGTTGTGTTCCCTGGTTTCTACAACTATAGCAACCAAATCAAAGGCTAATTCTTAATCTCAAAACTGGGCTGATAAGCCAAGTGCACTCATGCCATTTGGACTGATCATTTTTGGTTTGGGAACTGAATGGGGCGAAACCTGGAGTGTAGACACTAGAGCCTGAAGCTGAGTGAGGCTGAGGAAGGTGGAGAGAGATGGTTTCATGTGAGCTGTTGCCCATAGCCTTCAGCCTGAGTGCAGTGTTTGTAATCCTAGGAAACCCAGACTGGAGTGCCTAGTGACACTCTCCAGCAGACACATTTTGCTGAAACAAGTAAGAGGTATTGTAACTGAAGGGACAGAGAGACAGTTTCGTATATGTCTTGTCATTTGATCTTAATGGTTAACATACTACAATCAAGAGTTTGACTCCAATATCATGAATGCTTGGAAATACAGGTGTCTTAAACATAGATACTGATTGGTACTATGATGTTTAAAGATTTCTTCGAGATAAGACAATAATGTAATATGTTTATCATTTTTAAGGTACCAGCTAAACCTCTTTGCAAGGATGTGCTTGGATCGCCAGTATCTGGCCATAAACCAGATTTCTACACAGCTCTCTGTAGACCTGATCCTGCGGTGTGTGTCGGATGAGAGTCTGCCGTTCGACCTCCGAGCGTCCTTCTGTCGCCTCATGCTCCACATGCACGTTGACCGGGATCCCCAGGAGTCTGTGGTGCCTGTTCGCTATGCCAGGCTCTGGACAGAAATCCCCACAAAGATCACAATTCATGAGTATGTTTGGAAAAAGGTCTTGAGGCTTTGGAGTCCAGCAGATGAACTCCACATCAAATGGCTACAGTTTTGAAATATAACATGTGGAAAGGCATTTGTGTGTCCTGTCGTGGGTTGTTAGTCTTCTAAATGCAAATAAGATACTCGTTTTTGAGGGTGAAATAACTCTCAGTGGGAATAAAGGCATTTTCTAGAAAACAATAAGCAAATAATGTTGCTGTAATTGGCAAGAATTTTAAGTACTTCATGTTGTGGTAGACTGCTACAACTGCTTTACACGTCGCTCATTTCACAACAGCCCCGTTTTACAGATGAGGACCCAGGCCCTAGGAAGCCTAACTAATTTATCCAGGATTATGCAGCCAGGAAACTAAAGCACATATGTTTTATTATTTTTAAATGATTGCAATCAGTTTAACTTGCATTATCTTCTTTCTGTATTTCCAGATATGATTCTATAACAGACTCTTCCCGAAATGATATGAAGAGGAAATTTGCCCTGACAATGGAATTTGTTGAAGAATATTTGAAAGAAGTCGTAAACCAGCCCTTTCCTTTTGGGGATAAAGAAAAAAATAAACTGACATTTGAGGTACTTTTTCCCTCCAATATTTAGGATGTTTTGGTAACTGGGTAGTTTAGTTCATGAAGGTATTATTTTCTCTGCCATTTTTAAAAGATAGTTTTGGTGCTTTAATGTCCAGTAGAAAACATTTTATTTATAATTGTCTATTAATTACTGTTTCCCTTGATTTTTTTTGTTTCATTTGTGTAAGATTTTTTGCATGAAATAAGCACAGGCAGTTTTGCATATTTTGTGGAATGTTTGTATACTTTTTTTTTTGTCTCTATGGAGATGATGTTTTTATTCTCATTGAACTGAATTGAAATATCTTCAGTTTGGGGATGTAGTGACAAAACTAGAGAAAGGATGCTATTACTTGATACCTGGTGTATTAGCTACCTACTGGTGTATAACAAATTACTCCAAAACTTTGCAGCCTGAAGCAACAAACATTATCATAGCTTCTATGGGTCAGGAAGCCAGAAGTAGCTTAGCTGGGTGGTTCTGGCTCAGGGTCTGTGATGGGGTAGCCAGCAAGCTGTTGACTGGGATTGCAGCCATCTGGGGCTGGACAGTCTGTTGCTAAGGTCACTGGAGGGGTTGTTGGTGGCCACACCTCCTTGCTGGCTGTTGGCACCTCAGCTTCCTGCCATGTGGGCCTTTCTGTAGGCTGCCTGGGTGTCCTCATGACATGGCACCTGGCTTCCTCAGAGCAAGCCATCTGAGAGAGAGAGAGAGAGTCCAAGATGGAAGTTGCAGTCTTCTGTAATCTAATCTTGGAAGTGACATGTCATCAATTCTGTTGGTCACTTGGACCAACTCTGATACAGTGTGGTAGGGGGAGACTGTGCACTGGGGGCCACATGTTGGAGGTAGACTCTCGCACTTGGAATGTCCTCTGCAATCCACAAGCCCACAAAGCAGCATAGGGAACATAGATTTCTGGGCAAATTTCTTGGATAATAGCCATTTATTAAAGTAATTAATTGGTGCAACCATTTATTAAGTGGCATCCTGCTGACTTAAATTACTTAAATGTTTAATTAAGATGTAAATAATTCTAGTGTAAATTGTGTTAAGTACCTTAAAGCACTCTGAATCTTACTTGGATTTAATTCTAGACTTGAATAAATCAAAGTTCAAGTGGTTGCTTTTGCAAGTATTTTAATTCCTAGGTGTTAAAGAATTAGGAAGTTTAGAAATAGCTGTGCTAATTTAGATAATAAAAAGCCAATGTTTATTGCAATTCCCAATGTTTTTTCCACTCTTTCACCCTCCCCCTCCCCGCTTTTTTTTTTTTTTTTTTTTTTATTAAGGTGGTCCACTTGGCTCGGAATCTTATATACTTCGGATTTTATAGTTTCAGTGAGTTATTAAGGCTAACAAGAACACTTCTGGCTATTTTAGACATTGTACAGGCCCCCATGTCGTCATACTTTGAAAGATTAAGCAAATTTCAAGATGGAGGTAAGAATTTTGAGAAATGTGATAATATCATTGTTATTACTTGGAAGTAAGATAAAAAATAAAACTACAGAGAAGGTGTTGCTATTGTGTACTTGCTAATATATGTGTGCATATGAACACAATTCCTATGACAGGGCTGAGTGATAATAAGGTGGATTTACAAACATACATCTCTGTTTATAATGCTAAAGCTTTGAAAGATGAATTCATAAGGTCAGATTTCATCTTTAGCAACTAACATTATAGCCAAACCACTTGTAAAAATATTATGTGTTAAAAAATGAAAACATCTTGATATTTGTGGTCATGTGGTTCAAGCAATTCTCCTGCCTCAGCCTCCTTTATTTTTACAAATACGGATTAAATTATAAGGTATCAAAGAGAGAATAGATTTGAAGGCTATGCTCTACAGCAGAGCTTAGACAGATGCAAAGAAGACCAGGCACGGTGGCCCACCCCTGTAATCCCAGCACTTTGTGAGGCCAAGGTGGGCAGATCATGAGGTCAGGAGATCGAGACCATCCTGGCCAACATGATGAAAACCCGTCTCTACTAAAAATGCAAAAATTAGCTGGGCATGGTGGCGCGTGCCTGTAATCACAGCTCCTCAGGAGGCTGAGGTGGGAGAATTGTTTGAACCAGGGAGTCAGACGTTGCAGTGAGCCAAGATCGTGCCACTGTGCTCCAGCCTGATGACAGAATGAGACTCCATCTCACAAAAAAAAAAAAAAAAAAAAAAGAGAAAGATTCAAGGAAAGGGCTGGCGAAGTATCATGCCAGAGAAGGAGCGAATGCCACGCCAGTGTGGGAACCTCTGGAGTGAAGTGGATAAGAGAATGGGCTTTCAAGTTAGAGTGCCTGTATTCAAATCCTGCCTTTACCATTTATAAGGTACTTACCTTCTCTATGATTTTTCTTTTCTCATCTGAGATATGAAGATGATAACAACAATATCCTTCTCACAGTTTCCTTGCAAAAATTAAGGGAATGTATACAATATATTCAATGGGCTTTCAACAGTGACTGTCCCATAAGTCAATACAAAGATTTTATGATGATTGTCTTGGGTTGGATACCCTAAAAACACCCTGAGATTGAGGCTTGTTTGCAGAAGTTATATGGAGGAGTGCACTTGGATATATACCTGTTAGGAAGTGAGGAAGGTAGGACTGGGCAGGCGGAGAAGCTCATCTGCAATGCAGTTATGACTGAGACCTCAGGTCATCCTGTAGGGAGCTCTGGAGCTGGGATGCTCTTTGGAATTGTCACAAATTAAGGAAAAGGGGGCCACACTTGATGTCTTTGCATCAGCCAGCTATTACTACTTGGCTTTGTTCCGGAGGGGGCTGTGTAACATTGGGTAAGAGTCCGTCCTGGCGAGAGGTACAGCTGTAAATAGCAACAAGGATGCCCAGCAGCTGGGGCAGTAAGAGCCTCAGCCCTGAAAAGGGGACACAGGTGGAGCACAGTAGTATCCACTACAGCATCCACTACAGGATTAAAAGGGCAAAAACCAGAAACCTAATTTCAGACATAAAGAAGAAATATCTAGTTAAGAATTATAAATGAGCAACTTACAGTAACCTAAAGTAATTAATTGCTACTGCTCAAATCTCAATTCCTTTTTTAGCTTTCAAAAAACTGTACAAATCATTAAGAAGCCAACTGAACCACATAAATCCCTCACCTTCAGCATAACTAGAAGCGAGGGGACAATGCAAATGCTAGTTACTGTAAGTAGAAAGATAAACATTCATTTTTAGTACAGCTGCCTGATGAGCTCCCATTGCAAACTTTGAGGATGGTGAGCGGTTTTCAGAGAAACTGGAGAAGAGAAAAGGGATCGTGTGCAAAGGGAATGAAATGAAATTGTATGAAAATCACCCTCAGAAAGAGAAAGTCTATCTAGGTGTGAAAACATGGAAAAAGTATCCAGGTAGATAAGAGCACCAACTAAACAGGAAGGGACTTGAAATAGCGTAGGGAGCAGTTGTGGAAAAGCAGTGCTTCTAGGGATGAACAAGTTTGCAGGTAAGGGAAGGGCACCCCTTCGAGTTTTTTGGTGAAGGAAAAAGAGGCAAGATGGGGAGATCTAGAATACCACAAGACAAAAAAACCCTGAAACATCGATGGGCATATCACTCCACCGACCTCCACCAAAAGCCAAATTTTAAAGAAACTGCACTTCATGACTCTGACAGGAGGGGGCGCCCTTGAACCAGAGATCCTGTAAACCCGCTCATTGTTAATCCTGTCTGCTGAATGTGTCAATGTCATCCGTCTCACTATGTGAAACCGCTGTTTAAGACCAAAACAGAATGGAAAAATCTAAACACCTCAGTGGATGGAAATTCCTCCCTGAAAAGCAACTGTGAAGCAGAAGAATATTGTAACATGATACTCTAAATGGAATTAAGTAGCTTCAAGCACAGTGAACTATGGAAAACACTTTGATTCATAAATTCAAAAACTAAGATCAGAAATGGACCAAAACCCAAGAAGAAATGAAATGAAAATTGATTGAACTTAGGAAAGAAATAGAATAAAATGGTTGGCTTTATTTATTCGTTTATTTTTACCAACACAGATTAAATTATAAGGTGTCAAAGAGAGAATAGATTTGAAGGAAAATCAAATAGGTGACATTGAAGAAAGGCAGGAGAACAATGAAGAGAATGACAATGATCCAAAGAAACAAGTGATGCGGGTGAGAGGGAAAGAGGCTGAAATGGAAGAAAGGCAAAGAAGAGCCACCATATGAATAATTGGAGTCCCTGAAGAAGAAAAACAAGAAAATGGAACAGAATTGAGTATTTAAAATTGCAATCCAAGAGAACTTTTTGGAAATAAAAGACAACCTGAATCTACGTGGTATAATTATCCAGAATGGTAATCTCAAAGAGCATAATAAAATTATTATATGTAGTATACATTCAGAGAGAGAATAATAAGGGTTTGAGGGAGGAACCATAAGAGCAAATGGGGAAAAAAGGAAAGCGTATATGAATATTTTTTACTATTATTGCATCTTTAAAGTAAATTGAATGTTTTATAAAAATAAATCTATGAACAACATCTGAATGACAGCAAAGCAAAGGCCAAGAACTGTAGTTGTTAATCAAAGAGCAGGGGCATGCAGGGGTCTATATTAATTCTGCTGCCTGAATCTCACTAGTGAGACTCCTTTTACCACTCCCAGAGGGTACATAATACTTGAACTGTCTGTATTAAAGCTTCTTGTTATGCTTTTACAGTCTTCAGTCTAAACTAAATTAGAAAACTAGAAGTTGATCCTGACTTTTGATCTCAGTGCTTACAGTCTGCCTTCAGTGTTTCACCATGAAGAGTATTTTATTAAAGACTTATTTTTTTTTAGAGCAGTTTTAGGTTTATGGCAAAATTAAGAGGAAGATACAGAGATTTTTTTATTTACCACCTGCCCCCCAACATGCATAGCCTCCCCATATCAACACCCTCCACCAAAGGGGTACATTTGTTACAATTGATAAACCAACATTGACATCATTATGTCAAGTTCGTCCTTGACATTGGGGTTCACTGTTGGTGTTGCACATTCTATGTATTTGGACAAATATATAATGACACGTATCTAACTTTATAGTATCATACAGCATCTTTTCACTGCCCTAAAAATTCTGTGTGCTCTGCATATTCAACCCTTCTCCCACCTCCTCACCACCCCCTGGCAACTGCTGATTTTTTTCTCTCTCCATAGTTTTGCCTAAGGAAAGTTTTTTTTTTTTCTTGGAAAAGTTGTTACCTTGTTTGCACTCTCCACCGTCCTGTTTATATCTGCCCTCAAAGACACATAAATTTAATTTTTATAATTCTCATATTTTTAGTGAATTCCATTGACTTCTAGATACCTTGATTATTTCTTTCAGCAATCTGATAATAATGTATTATTTTATTTAACAAGAATCTATTGAAGAATTACAATATGCCAGACACAGTTCTAGTCACTGGTGATAAGTAATTAACAAGATAACCAAAGTTGTTAGTCACAGGGAAGACAATTAATAAATAGGCAAAATTCCTCCTTTCTCCTATTGAGAGAAACAGCCAGATTATCTATCTATCTGTCTATCTGTCTATCTATCTATCTGTCTGTCTATCTTGTAACATCTGATAATGCTGTGAAGAAAAATAAAGTAGGTCAATGACATGGAGACTGATGGAGTGAGGGAGGGTAGAATTTTCTTTTAAGTTTGATGGGCAATCTCTGGAGGGATTTGAGAAGGGACTGATGTGATCTGATCATGTTGGCTGCTGAATGGAGAATAGAGAATATCTATGTGGGCAAAAATGTCGAAGGCTGAGAAACTGTTTCAGATTAAAGGAGATTAAAGAGACATGACAACTAAAATTCAATATGCAATTCAGCACTGGATCCTGAATTAGGAGAAATATTATCTATAGAAGATATTATTGGCACAAGTGATAAAATTTGAAAATTAATTATAGGAATATGGATTGCAGGTTATATTTGAAAATCGATTATGTCAGTTAGATTTCCTGACTTTTGTAATTGCACTGTGCTTAGCTAAGCAAATATACTTGTTTTTAGCGAATACATGCTGAAGAATTGAAAGTTGAAAGGTCATGATGTCTGGAACTAACTTTCAAATAGAGCAGGAAAGATGTGTGTGTGCGTGTGTGTGTGTGTGTGTGTGTGTGTGTGTATGTGTGTGGGTGTGTGGAGACAGAGATGCAAATGTGGCAGCATTTGTGAATCTAATCAATCTGGGCAGAGTCTATGTGGGAGTTCTTTGTACTATTCTTGCAACTCTTCCTATAAATTTGAAAGTTTTCTAAAACAAAAAAGTTAAGAACTTAAGTAATTAACTTGCTAGGAAAAGGATTTATGTTATGCAAGGTGACAATTCAAACCTCAAGAATGATCTTACAACTCTACTAGGAGATGTGTTATTAATATTATAGCTAGGTTCTCTATTAGACTATAAATTCCTAACAAAAGT